CACGCATATAAACCATACGGCTCCGATTTCAGAGTCCCCGGCTGGTAGTGGTTAAAGCTGTGTTCCCTCTCATTTCGCATAGTATTAAAATGTTACACAGCCCAGCAATTTTGTCACAAAATCAACCTTTGCACAGGACATTGCACAGCATTTAGAGTGTGTGCAACAATACTGGCATTGATGCATTGAATTTGTTTCATGAACATGATGAAGTTGGGTGCAGAAAATATTTAAGCTTCTTTAAAAACAGGTTACCGGCCCAGATGACGTAGAAAGTGCATGTGTAAGGTCAGGCTGGGTCACGGTCCATTCTTTGTGTAGCACAAATTTTTTCCGCTGAGGTGCTCCATGACATCAGATCCTGACAGGGGATGCATAAACCAGATATGGTAGTTTTGAGGTACACCTTCCTTACAGTTAGTCTGGCCCGTTTAAAAACTGTTCCGGACATCATACTTTATGTATACATAATGTAAGTGCAGTAGAAGGCAAGTGTGTTCTGAGCCACTTGGCTTATCAGGTTGGTGTTGATCTCTGTTCTGCACTAAATGAAATACCGGTACATGTACCAGTCCATTGCAGGTCGATCCTCAGCTAATGCTTGTACCCATGAAGTGACTTGCCGAAGGCCTGTGCGTACAGCCTTCGGTCAGCAATTGGATTCGAACCTCAGACCCTCTGGTCATAATTCAGAAACCTTAACCACAACGCCATAAGCACCCCTGTGTGTGTACTTGAGCACATAGTCAATTGTTATGAAGTTAAGAGATTTGACTTGTCAGTTTTGTCTGGACAATCACCACCCAAGACTGTCATTTCGGTTCTTGTCTTTTTTCATGCACAGCCATTCCTGCCACAGACAAAAGCAGGGACCGAACCCAAGCGGCCCAGCAGACCGGTCAATATCACGCCCCTGGCACGGTTAACTCCTACCTCACCCAACCAAGTAGACGTCCAGTGGATCCCAGAGATCGGCCGGGTGAGTCGCCAGAATGGGGAAAGGGTGCCCATTATTGATTTGCATGAAGGCACCAATTCCTCCCAAGGTCAAGTTGTCTGTCTTCTACAGAAGCCTGCCATGACACACACAGTTATTGTGCTTGGGAGAAAAATGGGCTCTAGCCTGTCCTCTAAATTGTGTAGCATTTGTGGTGCATGGCACACAACTGCACAAGTAGGCCGGTTGTTGTGACCATCTGATACGTACATGTGGATCTGCAGTTTGAAATTAGCCAATGAGTCAGTGGCCACATTGACCTTGCATAGGGTTAAGTCTTGTACATGCACATTTAGATGTTTGCATCGCATTTTGTATTCTTGATTACTCTTGAGGTCAGCCGACCAGATTATCAGGATGGAATTACTGCTATTGTTGAGGATGTCATCATTTTTCCTGTACCATTGGTTAATATCAGTAGTCTTTTTTTCCTGTCTCTTAATGCTGCAGTCCTACTGTGTAGCTGTCTATTTAGTCAGACAACTTTCAGCGGAGATTCTTTTTCAGAGATTGAAGAGCAGTGGAGTCAGGAATGCAGACCACTCCAGAGCACTCAGTAAGTAACTTCTGCCTTTTTTTTTTAAGTAGGAGGATAATATTGTTTAGAAGAGATAAAAGTAACAGTGGCTCAAATTTCTTGTCTTGTGTTAATCCTTGTAAAGTGCCCGCATTGAAAGCGTAGTTCGGTAACTTTAGTGGTCTGGGAGTTGGCTGATAAGGTACGGTGACCATTTAGATCTGGTAAGGGAACGGCCCCCCCGGTAAGCTAGTCCAGGTGCAAAACCCCCTTTCATACCGGACCAGCTACCGGACTTGGAGTCTGGTCTGGCAGTTGATCAAACACTCATCCATCCTGGAGGCTATTGTTGGTAGTTCGACTCGCACAATCTAACCCAGGAGAAACCCCTGTCACGTTTTTTGCAATTCAACACTAAACGATAGAAACCCTTCGGAGCATTCTGAAAAAGCCACAGTCCATGTGGCTTTTCGCACAATGGAACCATACACTGCCCGGGTGTTGGCCAGGATTTTTTCTCAAGGGTAAGAATGGAGCCTCCCTCACCAGCACATCAAAGCCCCTGCCATGCGGTTTTGCAAACAATGCCCCCTTAAACCACCACATTTGCCAATACTTTGCTGGACCTGTGACTATTATGCACAAACATGTACATGTACCTTTTGTTTCATATATTTACATGTGAGCTATATTCTTTTGGGTTTTAACACCCTCTGAATGAAAAATGATGTCTGAGGTCACTGGAAAAAAAGCTCTCAAAAACTTTTGAAACCCTGAGGTAACTTTGCCATTCCGCGATATAACATTTCAGCTTTATTTCCAATTTCCATCTTCTACTTTCAACCAAACAAATTTTTCACCAAAAATACAGTTGAACATATGAAATGGACTCTACACCAAGCTGAAAAGACTGGACTGTGTAAACATTCCCATCCGAGGTGTGCTTCTTGAAGTGGTACATTTTCCTTAAATTCCTACTGTACCAAATCTGCTTGCATCTCTCATTGATTACCTCAACAGTTTTACATTTATGATTGGTTTACCAGTGTTTAAAGTCTGGATATTGCATTATTGCCTGCTGGAAACATGCATGATTGCTGCCGGTACCACTGTAATTGACTTGTCTTGACCACTGCCCTAAAGATCCCACCTTTCATGCAAGCCTTATTGCTATCACGACCCAAATGTACCCCTCGTGTTTGCAGTCCAATCATGGAATCTTTGTGGTGGCCATGTGACCAATCTGAAGGAAACTTCAGCCGCCTGCCCAATTGCAGATGAAGCACTCTAGTGTCGCCAGTCACAGCCCATGTGTAGACACAGTGGACATGCATTCCCGGCGCGGTGCTGGGAATGCGCCGCTTTGCATCGCCTAATCTCACTCAGAGTTTTTAAAAAGGTTAAAAAGGAAAGGTGAAGGAATGAAATGACAAAAAACACTTAAATATTTTTTTTTTTAGTCAAATGTTTTGAAATATAAAATGGTCAGCCCTCAAGCGATTGAAAAGAAATGATCATGTGATCAAACAGAAAAACCCTGTGCCCAGCACTAGCCAATCAAGCAAGTATTGTACGCATCACAGCACGGTGTGCAAAAGAATTGTCCTAAAAAGTACACAGTTTTTGAGGTTTCTGTTAAATGTATCAGTAGAATAGAAAATTTTACATATATAAAAATGTGAAATCTCATCAAACTGATGATTTTAGAAGAATTTGTTGCCGGATATAACGAAACAACCACTCAACGTCTCCAATAGCCACTGTGGGGGCTAAGAGTGCTTCGATCCTGTTCGTGTACGTGAACAAGACTCGGGAACTTTCGTTGGCTCGAAATCTGGATAAGTCACATTCTTATCCACTGAGGTTTTTAGTTATCAAATGTGTAGAATGGATAAACTTTTTCCTACCATGGTATCTAACACGTATACATACGAGTCATTCATTCCGCGTTTGATTAATGGAAGTTGAAAAAAGTCAGTGCTTTTTCGTTAAAAGTATGTCCTTCGATCGAAGGCATGTCCGAAAACTGCCGATCTTCTGTGCTTACGTATACGATGGTCCACCCAGCAGTCAGAACATATATGTACTTATCCGAAAATAATGTTCAGCTAAAAAATTCTGGACAAAGCCCGATCCATTTGTGGAAGCTCTTATTGCATGCAGCATTACACTTGCAAAATATCACACCTCGATGCAAACGCTGGCACTACATGCCATTGGAAGTTAAATGTTCTTTGCTTTCCTGTTGTCTTGATGCCCACTACTTCAAAAGAATAGAGATATGGAATATTATAAAGCTTCAAACTGCCTATCAGTTAAATAATCACAATACAATCCACCTCAAGCCAGCAGCAGAAATTAACACTTAGGCCAACTCTTGCTAGTAGGCAAAAATCTGGTAAGTTGTCTTTTGTTCAGCTCTTGCTGTTCTCTGAGAGGCTATAAACTGATGCGCCTCACTGATTTCAAAGGGCACAGGTCAGACAAGCCTGTGTACCAGACTAGGGCAGGCTGAATACTGGCCTGGCTTAATACCAGACTGGGTAGGATCGCGCCCTTTCCATACTGGATCTAAATGGTCACTGTCCCTAAACAATGCTGTGTAAAAAGTCTGTAATCATATCAACTAGAATCAAGCTGGCTGACTTACTGTTTTCATGACCATTGTTTCCTTTCCATTCAACTCCTCCTATCCTCCCCTCTGCTATTGCTCCTGGGTAGTCAAAGAGAAGCTCTCCCACGATCCTGAGAGCGAGATTGCCACCATGAGTCTGCGGGTCAGCTTGATGTGCCCCCTGGGCAAGATGCGCATGTCCACCCCTTGCCGGCCCATCACCTGCTCCCACCTGCAGTGCTTTGACGCTGTACTGTACCTCAAGATGAATGAGAAAAAGCCCACGTGGATCTGCCCTGTCTGCGACCGCAAGGCACCGTTTGACTCACTCATTATTGATGGGTAAGGATGCAGAATCTGACCCTTCCTAACCTGTACCATTGGCACAGTTCTGACAATTTAACTTCCTCGGACATTTTCAGCTCACAAACCCTTCAGACAACATATCTGTCAGGCCATTCTAACTAGGCATGGACAAAATCTCAAGTGATCCTATCAAACTGAACAGCCTGTGTGTGTGTATTCTGCAGCAGGAGACCAATCAACTTTCCGTCAATTTATCACACATTTAGTTTTGAAAGATAAACTAACCTCCATTGGTGCTGTCTTGTTTGTCTTGTTGACCTGAACCTGTTGGCAAATTTATATGAGCAAAATTTTGAAGATGTAGGTCCCAATCTGCTGGTGTAAGTCAACAGACAGGTGGTATCTATAAAGGAAGCTGACTGGTATCTTTCAGCCTTTTCATGGAGATCCTCAGCCACCACACGCCGAGTCTCGAGATCCAGTTCTTGGAGGACGGCTCGTGGCAGCCGCTGTCAGAGAAGAAGCGCAGCTACAGCTCAGTCATGAACATCAGCAACGTCTCAGATGGTAAGGATCACCGCATGCCAGTTAAGCAATCAGGGTTCCTCCCTGACGAATGTGATTCTGAGGAGATCTCCAACATGGGTAGAAGGTTTCAGAAGACCTCCAAAATAGGATTGCAAGAAAACATGATTTTTATGGGGGGCGGGTACCAGTGTAATACTCCAACTCTCTGTACACAAAGTTTGGTAGTTTTGTCTTTGGAATAAACCATCAGTTGCATCCTATTAGGGTGCTTTCAAAATTGATGGATGAAAGCCTCTTGTAATGTAAGAAGTGATTCAAAGGACAATGAAAGTCAAAAGTAAAGACTCTTGAATATATTCGTCATGATCATAGTATTGGTCTGCCTGTGTTGTTTCTTTCTTTGCTTTGTCGCTTCTTTTTTCATTAATGTGGGGTAAAATAAAGACCTGAAATTCAACAAATTTCTGCACAACTTTGAGATATGTGCTAATACATGAACTCCATGTTATTGTGATTGGTTTAGGTTTTTTGTTGAAAATTGGATTAATTCTGAGATGCTAAAGAAGCTTCCTTCAGCTTCAGACATATATATCTCTGGCTGCAAAGACTTCAGTGCTTCCTAACAATGGAGAAAATGTCGTGTTCTTTTTTTTACAAAATCAAACCGCTTTGTCAGAAAGGCAGTTGTTAACAGACACAGTTTTCATGTGCAAAACTCTGACAAATTCTGCACTCGGATGATCTCATGCACAGAACTTTCGTTCAATCTCTGTAAGACAATGTCAGTTTATTTGTCTTCCTCAACCAGGGGATGGCTCAACACCACCAAGTAAGAAGTCTAACATGGAGTGTATCGACCTCACCAACTCCAGCTCAGAGGATGAGGGAGACGAGACAGAGGAGGAAGTCAGCAGCGACACTGACTCAGAGGAAGAGATCATCCCAATGCCCAGACCCCAGCACCGCGCCCCGGCCATGCGTGTCCAGGACGAGGAGGAGCCCGACCTACGCCTTCAGGACACCAGCGTTCTGTCGCCGCCACCACCCAAGTCACCCCCACCACTCACCACGGCGAACAAACGGTTGGTGCCCGCCCCACTGACCCCACCCTGTGCCCCGCCCCTGACCCCACCCCCACTTCGCCACCACTCCCAAAGCTTATCCCCACTCCCCTACGCCTGCAAAACGCCGGATGTCCTAGATTGGATGACCTCTCCCAATCCAGCCAGCCCAAATGACAACCCCTTGAATGCTGTCCTTGATACCCTCTGCGCATCTCCTGCCATTGACAGACAGGCACAGTCACATGTCCACACAGCTCGACTGGCAAATTACGGAAGCAAAAGATTGCAGGGGGACTATCGCAGCAATATCTTGAACTTTGACTACTGACTGTTCTCAGCATTTACATGCAATCACATGAACAAGCTTCACTGACTGCATAATTTATTTCTCATTTATCAGACCAGTTGTTGAAATTTAAAACAAAGGACCATACTTTTAAATAGAAAAAATTAACATTAATAAACTCTATCAAGAAACAAGTGTTAAGGTATACCAAAAAATGTGTACCAAAAGTGAACAAAATATTTGTATAAGAAATTGACAAAAAGTCTACATATCAGATAAGTAGTTTGTCAAGAAGAATCATGCATGATGTTACTTTCAGTTGATCTAAAAAAGATTGTGCATTTTTTTAAAAAGTGAACTTGCAAATATGAACAGATTCAGCATGCCAATTTATCTTAGGCTTATTTTTTTTGTCCATCAGTTTGGAGGAATTTAAGTCATAATAGTTGTTTGCTTACAAAGAGACGTTCAAAATAAATCAACAGAAGTGTGGTGAACAAAAACTCACTCTGAGTGAAATGTTTGTCAGTTTAATGAAATTAAAAATCTTTGTGATAAAAAGCGTAGTGAAAACCTCGATGCCACAATTACAAGATATTATTCACAATTTTCTTTATAAAAAAACCACAACTCAAACCAGGTGTTCAGGGAAAAAAAACTTCTACACATACATGTTAATTTTCTACTGGAGCCAAGTTGTCTGGTAAGCCATTTTCCGTTGCAAGGTGGACTGACTGGGATTTGAACCTGTTTCCACCAAGGTGGTGGTGGGGGTGAATTGCTAAGTGAAGAATTTAATCAACTGAGCCAAACTTCAGCTCTAAGAAGTTGATTGGAAAGCTGTCTTTAGTGCTTCTGAGACTTGTTTGTGAAAAAAAGTTGCTGCCTGTTCTGTTCAGTGTTTTTGTGTTCTGGAAATTTGTCAAAAGCTTGGGGAGAGTGAACTTTATGTCTGGACAGTTGTCATGCAAATTAGGTACACCTGCAAAGCCCATCGCCTGTGGTCACAGCCCTGGATTTTAGCAAAGCATTCCAAGCACATGCTGAAGAATAGACTTTTGTTATGCACATGTACCTGACTATGGGCAGACACATACATTCTTGAAATGCCATTGAAGAGCATTGATGCATGTACAGGCCATCATTACAGAGCTATTCAGATATGACAGACTTCTTGCACATTGAAATACAGTTGCGGTTGGGTACACATTTTGTTGTCACAGATTCTAGGACATAGTCTTGCTCATATCTGAAAACAAGTTTGGAGTTCAAAAAACATGCGTAAAAGAGATCCCCCCCTGTCCTTACATCCCAGTCTTTTTTCATCTGTTGAACCAACTTTTGGGGTTATTTTTAACCCTTTTCAGTGCCTATCATTTTTAACCCTTTTCAGTGCCTATCATTTTAAAGAGAACATACATGTACAATATGGTAATGAAGATTTGCTATAAAAATGGTGAACCTAAACATTTAAATCTTTGGTCGAACTCTGTGCTTGTTCGTGCCACATTTCTCTTAATCTCTTTTGAGCTAACATGCAATATTTCATCAAAGTTTGAGGAATGCTCCTCACAGTCCTGGAAACCAGAATTATTCAAAGGGATTTTACAATGAAGTTGTCAAAATTGTGCCCTGAAGTATAGTTTACATTGGTACTGCTTTACATTTGGCCATCTCGGTCACAAGTGCAAAGTTTGCTGCTTTGAATTGCAGAATGAATTAGTGTGGAATTCAGAAATCTGTCAAATTTACAAACTGCTCAGTGGTAGAGTTATTATTGGCTTCTTAAACTAAATTTGGTTTTATCTTCATCCCTCTCTTTTTTTTTGGTTGCTAGATGTCATTTGCTTCAAAATTCTAAATGTTAGGGAGATGAGATTTCACTCAAGTGTTGGTTACAGAAATTAATTTTGTCAGGAAGTTTTGCACTTGCATCCGAGATGGCCAACCATATTTGCTGGTTTTGTTTTCACTGATTAGCTGATTTTTTTTTTGGTTGTTTTTTTATCGCCCGATATGTGCAGTGCTTCTCCTCACCGGTACCCCATCGACTACAGTGTAGGCCCGCCTATGCCAACCTCACACCACTCCAACGGCATGCCCACCATGGAGCTCGGCCCCTCGCCGCATGCCCAACTGGGCCTGTTTGGGGACTATAGTCCCTTCCTACCCATGCAGCCATCCATGTCCAGCACGGACTATGCCAGCAGTAAGTTGATTGATAGTGGCTCACAGTGCGATCTGGCAACCCAAATCAGAAACTGTCACTGCGGTGGCACTGCACTTGCGGGCAGTTGGTATGCTCATGTCAAAAACCTCTTGGACCCAGAATAGAATCTCTTTAAGTTTAATAACCTCTGTGTGAGTGGCAGTGTCATCGCAGTAATGCCATCTTTTTGCACTCACGAATCAGAGAATGCCCAGTGTTCACCATACATGCATGCCTTTCAAATGTCAAATATGTCAATATGTCAAATATGACATGTTTGATATGTGTCAGTTTTGGCATGTGAAGCATGTCATATTTGACATATTTTAGGACATTTTATTGTATCATGCCAAAGAGTTTAGCAAATGACATTGCAATATTTTCTGCAAATTATTTACCATCCAAAGAACAATTCTCATAAAGTACATACACACATGTAAAAGTGCAGCATCTCTTAATTAAACCTTTGGCATCATTCATGTCTGTGAATTGCACGACTAGCTAGAGAAGAGCATGACTTGAAGGACGCTTTTTTGCACACTTGATTCATGTGAATTTTTTCTTGTTTTCATCAACCAGATATGGATTTATATTCTTTACTGCACAGTGAATCACAGGTAAGGTCTAAGAGGAGAGTATTTGACGGAGAACATATTGAAAATAAGATGGAACAAATCAAATGGTGTATTCTGAATGGAATGCGCAAGTACAAATTTAAATATAAGTAAGCACGTTTTCTGGCATAGTATGACACATTAAAAGAGTCGCAGCAAAATGAGTGGATGTGGCATTTACACCGAGCACAAAAGAATACTCATTTACTGATTGCGCATTTAGGTTTCTGGCATATCGGCTCTGTTGAAGCATTGTTTGTGATACAGACAATTAGCTATACATAAGCTGTACAACTTTCAAGTTTTCCATAGGATTGTGCACAACCTCCAATGCACTCAACAAGCTTCACTTCGTACAGCAAATTAGTGCTCTAGTAATTTAATCCAGCTCTCTGGATATAAAAAGCTGCCTCTCAAAAGGTCGAGGTTCATTTGGCATTGATGTTGATTGAAATTTTTTGGTGACATCTTTTGCTGCAGTCGCAGTACATGCCCCCGCTGTCCTACATGGACCACCTAGCCACCTCCAGCAGCAGCCTGCGCAGTGTCAGCAGCCTCAGCACGGTAGCCAGCAGCAGCAGTTCGGGCACCAGCCGGGCAGCCAGCAACGGCAGCGCCAGTGGGATGCCGGGCAGCGGCTACAGCTTGTCGGACGTCATCTCACTGGATTGACAGCTGGACCCCAGTCCCGCCGAGGCTAGACCACCAAGAGCGGCTGGGCCGGGGAGCTACGTCGTACCCTCAACTTACACCAATAGCAGTAGCCACCACCACCACCCACACGCGCACCCCCAGCACTTTCCTCACCCACAGCACCTCCCTTACTACTACAGCACTGACCCCCAGGGCTATCTTATCAGCTACGCTACCAACTACCTGCCAGGTCTCAGGTAGTATCTGGCTAGTCTCACCAGCTTGAACTCCCTTCAAAGAGACTTCATGTGCGTAGTGGGTTGGATTTTTTGGGTTGTAGTGTTTTTTAACTAGTTGTACTTTGTTGTGTTGCTCTTAATGGTGAGATTTAAGTGGGATGTGGTGGTAGTGTCTTTGAGTGCCCTGCTTGAGGTGTGTGTAGCCGTCGGAACATGCAGGTGCTGTCTTGCCCCAATGGCAAGTTACCTGGGACAGATTTCTGTGGAGTTGTAAAGCAGAGATTATTACTACTAGATATGTGGTCAGCGAAAGAAAAAGAAGCTAGTCAGCCGAAGAGGAACCAACTATTTGGAGGTGCCAGCCGGTTTGTTGCCAGCATGCAGTGATGTGTTGGGTAGTTGTTCCTTTCCTCTCTGATAAGGGTTACGTTATTTCCCCTTCATAGGGAAAGTGTAAGTGTCTTAATGTGTGTCTTTCTGCTGACTGTCTTAAAGAAGAATAGAGCAGGTGATTCTATATATGATATCCAAATGGTTATTGGAGTGGCACTGTAAAGAAGAAGTATATACTGTCTGAAGATTCAAGTGAGATTTGTCAGTGAATGTTAGAAATGTGAATTTTGTTCTGTTTCATGTAACTCGAAGACACATTGGTTGAAACGAACAACACACCTTGTAAGAAAGGATGGCTGTTTCCAAAATCAGGTATCTGTGAAAGATTTCCATGAAATATGTAAGCTTCCCGCGAAATGCACTGCAAGAAAAACACCCCCCCCGTGCATTTTGCATCATGCTCAAAAGGTGTTATTAGAATCACACATAAATGTAAGCAACTGTTTCCAAAAATGGCTCTGTGGTTAGTTACACATGTACATGTATTTGATTCTTTTTAGGTTTTTTCTCTTCTTTACCCAAGAACAAAGTATTCTACATTTCATCAGAGAGTACGCTTGATTTTTTAACATTATTTTCCTGAAATATGTGCATACAGCCACATAGAAACCACTTTGAGACGTATTAGCGAAAAGTATGTTGCGAGAAGACGAGTAGGGTATAAGTGGCTATTGACTTTAAAATGGCACCAAACCTAAATTGAATCATCATTATGAAAAAAAACCTGTGTAGCACTTGAACGCATGCACTTCTGTACATACATAATGCACATTATATGGCACGCTTGTCTTCAGTGGGTTATGTATCAGTGCAATCAAGGATTTATACCCTTTATGTGTGATGGCGTTTGCATTTTGCAAATGCAGGTTTGCAGTTGGCCAAACAGCTTCTTCTTTTTTTTTAATTTTTTTCTGTTTTCCTATGAAAATAATGGTACAAATTATTCGCCACACTGTTTTACAGAATGTAATTTTGTGTTTCATGGTCTTTTTAGTAACTGTTAATTATGTTTCCCATTTGAATTTCAAAGGATTTTTATCTGATCATTCTGTGCGAGAAAACCAATTTTGTGTTGGGAAATGTGTCATGAAAAACGAACTGGAGGTTTTGTCTTTATGTTAAACCTGGGCTGTATACAATAACACAATACTGTGCATACTTCATATGTGTGGGTACCAGTGCATATACAGAGTACTGTTGAATGCATTTCTGGTTACAATGAAATCTTCAGCAGCATTGTGACTGGATGCCGTGCAGAGTCTAACTTGTTTGAATTAATTTCTTTGTTTCGTCTTTTTCCCCCTTCCTGTTTATCCTTTTTATATCTTTCACCAGATTAATAAACCAGTTTATCGTACGGACTTTGGCACAAATTGTCTTCTGAGTCCCCAAGCAAAACCTAAGTACATGTACATCTGGTGGTGCGGTTTCAAACTTACATGTATGTACATGTAGCAAGGCTTTGGTGATTGAGTGCTTGGAATGTGCAGGATTGAGGCAGTTTCGACATAATCCCAACACAGTCCTGTGACAAGTTTCCATAAACTCCATGGAAATACTTCAACTATTGTAGTGCGGTACACACTGCCATGATGGTGGCGGGGGTCATCAAAATTTGATAAACACCAATTCACCAGTCCAGTCTACAATACCTGAATGCTTCGGTTGGGTTTGCCTAAATAGCTTGTGACTCAAGACTCGGGATCCACTTTAATGAACCCTTAAGAAATTGTGATGGACTTAAATGCAATGCCGATGGGAATAAGCCAGATTAGCTTTGGGCTAAGCTTCTGTCTCGGCAAGAAATGCAGAGAAGAAGATACAATTATTGATGAGCCACACTTTATGATGTGTATATATTATTGTTGTGTATTCTCACTCATTCTTCAATCTCCAGGAAACTATATTTTTCACGCTCAGTATTTTGCCACTTCAGACAGCCTAAAATTGCTATACCTATGTCTGTCTCACTTGCACTTCCATGAGCTACATTGGTATAAAGTGTCTTGCTAAGGGGCACAACTGCTCGGATTAGCTCAACTTTATAACGTGAAGCTGAACTTGAGAGCCAACGCAGAACTTGGGAACCGAGTTCTTGTGCAGACTTTGCAGATTCGTGTTTATCTGTTGCACCTGTACAATTAATACCATTTCATTTACTCAGCTGTAGATGTACATTAAGCTGCTAGTCCAAGTTTATGTGTCAGGTTTGGAGCGTCAAAACAGAAAATGAGAGGAAAGAAAAAGCTCTCTGCAAATGGTACCAAAGCCTGTGCCAACATAGCTTATGTGTTTATAAAGTGAATCCTATTTATGGAAATTTATAACAGAAAACTATTTATGATGGGAGAATTTTTAAACATGACAACTATAAATACAAACGTAATACTTAACTGTGTACATAATGTACTGTATCAAGTCATCACTGTAAATTACAAGGAATAGGGTTTTGGTTTTGAGTACATGTAGTTTTACTGTGCATGTTATTGGTGTCATTTTGTGTTTTTATACTGTGCTGCTGGGTAGTTACATATTAACCCTTTTTGTCCTCTGTGTTATTGTAGTAGATTGAAGTTTTTACTTGTTAACCTTGCCCTTGAATCCAGCTCAAACGTAACCACAGTTGACAAATTTGTTGTTACTTCTTAATGCATTGATTAATTTCTATGGCAGTATCCTAGATAGAGGGTTATTAGGGGAAGTGACATGTGAAATAGAGCAATTCCAGATGTATTTGCCTAAATCATGCATATTTTTGTAAATGTAGCATGTGGCAAACAACATCTCTGTTCATACCAGTCTTATAGGATTGAAAAAAACTTGAAAGGCAGTGTTTTACTTTCACTCAAACTTGTTCTTCTAACGCAAGTGTCCCAAGAGGTTCTTCTTTTTATTTTTTTTTTTTTATGAGAGTATGTAATCACCTGTAAACTGTAAAGGCACTGCCTTGTAAAGTGTCGAGTTTGTACTTTCTTTCTTGGCCGAAACACTCTGTAAACTCCTGAGGCAGGCAGTTGCTGTGCCAGCACAAATCACTCAGAATGTTCATCTTGGAGATTGGGGATTCAAAATTCACCAGAAAGCAAAGATAAAATTATCTTGTTTCCTCTTTATTCTTAAATGTTCCTGAAAGGACTGTGATTTGAGATGTGGGGATGCTGTCAGTTTTTGTAACTGCGGAAACGAATTGTTTATAGTTGGTCAGAGTTTGTGAAATGTATATTCTTTGTTGTTGTTGTTTTTTCAGCAATACACGTTTAGACATAGTCCTGTTAGTGTGACTAGCTCATTGTAAAATGAAACATCTTTAAAGTGTACTTTTATCTGTTGTACAAAATAACATGAATGTCTTTTTTTAACTTCACTGTATCTGACGGGATTTGTTCAAGGCTTGGAAGATGAGAACTTATTTGTCAGGGCAAAGTACAGATTAGGATTCTGCTTGCTGTTGATAAAGTATGCAGTATCCAATGTGTTTAAAATGAACATGTCGGTATTTTTTGTGATGTTTTCTATAGATCAGATCAAGTTGAACAAGTTTTGGCCCACATTTGGAATTTCCATTATTTGTTACGCTTGGAAAGCCCTGTGATTGAAATGAAAATATGTCTATATATAAACAGACAACAGGCAGTTGACATTTTCAGCCTAGATATCCCGTTTTCAGGTCCTGGAGTCTCCAGCAAAACTGAGTTGACCAGTCCAGCAAAACTTTTGTCAAGTTTCATTGAAGACGTGTATGTCAGTGGGCTAGATATAGCTCAGATACAGCTTCCCTTGTTACCAAAGATCTGTGGGCAGATTCCTACATTGCTGCTTTTGAGTTTCATCCATGTCATTATTCACTGCCTTCAAGGAGCGTTAGAAAAATTCTTGCACCGTAATTAATGATGATTAGTTACTCTTGCACGTATCTTTTCTTGCAGACTAATTATTGCAGTAATTTTTAACCACACATTGTGGCTTACAATCATTTCCAAGGCACCTTCTGTAGTACACAGTAGCCATGATTCCTTACGATTTATGTTTCAGCATTAAAGGTTGGTTCAAAACAGTTTTGTGCTTTGTTATGTTGCAGTCTTGTAACTGCAACCTTTACCTGTGGAAGGTATCTAGAGCATTTATAAAAAATCAAACTTTCTTTTGTTATTTATGTACACCTTGCATTTTGTCTACAATAATGGAGAGGTATCCAACATAAATGGTAAAAGACAATGTAAACACATATGATACAGAGAGTGTGAAAGCTGTGTAAAGAAACCCGTAACAAATTTCAAAAGTTTTCTCTTTTTTTTTTTTTTCTTTTTCATGTGGTAAGAGGGATTTTTTTCCCCGAAACTTTCAGGTGTTTCAGGTGTGGAAGTGACATGTTATGCATTTTGTGTTAACTGACATGTCAGAAATTACATGTATGTTTTGGGTAGCATTTTCTAACTTCACTGAGCAGGCACGTCAAAGGGCATCCCTATGAATAAATGGATAATGCAAGACAAGGAAAATTTGGCCACTTCTTCATTACAAAGTTGTATGAAAGGCACTGTGTTGTGCACGGCAGCTATCTTTAACTGCTTTTGTTACAGAAGGGCAGCACAATGGGTCTCCTCATGTGTATCCCTATGGAACAAAAGCTCTTACCAGAAAAAATAGCTGCCATACACAACCTCTGGTGTTTTTCATATTTTTGATAGCATTTGACAATTCTGGGCAGATTTCTAGACATGACCTCCAGAGCAATATGATACATAGCAAACATACATAGCAAATGTTTATACATAGCAACCGCGCTTGCAGTTGAGTTCTTGATGTCCTATTGGAAGACCAAACTATCCGTCATTAAAAACTAGCTACATTTCACACCACAGTTTAGAAAAGGCTGTCTCTTTTATCAAATGCATGTGTTAGCAAGCATTACAAACCCCCCCTTAAGATTTGAATACAAAGCCACACTTGTTCAGTTTTTGAGGCATTTCAGCCACAAAATCTGCATATTAATGAGGCCGTAGTAGTTGCACAAATTAGGGTAATTCCTTGCATAGCTTCCATATAAAAGAGAGACTCGTTAGCAATACCTATTCATGAGAAAGGCCCTATGCATTCAAACCTTGTTATTAACCTTTCTTAGCTACATTTGGTGGGCTGTGTTCTGCCCGGTAACTCCAACATATGTTAGCAGTGCACGTTAGACCACTGTGGTATATAATTATTGATACAGTGTACAAGTAAAAGATTGTGTTAAAAGGGGTATATTACAATCCTACCTCTCTAGTGAAAAATGTCATTTTGCTCAAAAACATTTGCCAGCTACAGTTGATATTTTTAATTCAGAAGGCAGGCCATACAACAACGCTTCAAAATGCTAGTTCTGAATTGTTGGATGTACGTGCTTCATGGCAATTACACCCTCACAGAGATTTTAGAGAAAGGATTGTCTGACACTGAAGCACCTTTGCCATGTGCTGGGAAACTACCCAGAGGAACTCAAGGGTTTGAACATTTTGATGCAAAAACTACGCATACACACTTTGTTCCTTGTGTGTGCACACCACGTAGTTCATATTTGCTCCAATAGGATACCATTGTATTGATTAACAAAGTATGGAGCACAGACCATTCAAGAGTCTAGGAAATTCAAGTGTGAATGCTCAAGTGTAATTTTTTTCAAGAGTCCAGACATTCACATCAACACTGGGTCATATTTCTCTCTGTAAAGATGAATCTAAGGTTCATGCATCCAAATTCCAGGAGGCATGTCTCGGTGTATCGATACAATCATCTGCTTAATACTTGTTAGTGGAGAACTCAGTGATGCTTAACAGTGGGAGGTGGGGTCATATGGGCCGTCTTATAAAACTTCAAAATTGATCCAAGAATTTCATTTTAATCATGACTATGCATTTTAGAGACGTCCTCTGTCCACAGTTGTTTCATACCTGTTCCTTGAAAATTTATGCAGATAAACACGATTCACTGGGATTCAGCTTTACACAAGATGACACAAATTGGAAGTATTTCCCATCTGTAGGTTTGGGGGACAAAGGATGCAGTATTGTTTCAATGAAGTATCTTTCACATGTATTAATATTATCGTCATCATTTAATTTGTGTACATACAGTGTGTAAATAAAGTTGGTATAAATATGAAATACTGTATGCTTACGTGTGTTTATTCTTATGCCAAAGCGCAGAAAGATGCACGCATGTAGATGTTGGTTCCCCCGTAGCTGGTGATCAGTATTTGCATCAATTACATGTACTAATACTAGGTAGATTGCATAGGATGTGCAAGAGATTTCCCCACCATGATTGGCCAAACAATTTTTTTCTTTGAAGTCTGCTCTTCAAGAGGCAGTGTGTGAGGAAAGATATAAGTTCATACCATGAAATAGACTGGTGCTATACTGGTGTCCAGCATTCCTTTTTACCTGCAAAAGCATTTTCTTTTAATATCTTTATGAAAGTTTACAAGACTACGAAATCCTACATACATGTAATATACAATGCCTCTAGAATCTGAAGATCTGCACGTACATTCAACCGAAAAAATTGAAGGTACAAATGCACACATTTATTTGGACAACACCACATTACTCATTACCCTAATATAGCATTTCATTGCTTAAGCTCACCATTATTTTCTCTCTTTTTTTTGGCCTCAGAGACTAAAAAGTACCCTTCAGATCAATGCTTTGGACACAGAAGAAACACCGAATTTCCTTGCAAATATGTGTATTTCATGTTAATGGCCAATTTGTGAAACTGGCCTCCATTAATTTGATTGTGCAATATTATCAATCTAGTTTCTTTCAAGCAACAGATCTCTTTCAAAGGACACCATCTTTGTAGGAAAATTACTACATCTTTTTCAACTCCAACAGGTGCATATGCACGCAGTGTGCAAACACTATACATGCAAGCACAATGATCCAAATGCTCTTGAAATGTGGTGCAGCCTATGCATGTCACGTAAATTGGAAGTCAAAACTGTTTATGTATGTGGCCATCTGTAGGAAGTGACGTCATTGACAGAGACCCATTAATCGTTGTCATGCCTGTACATGTACGTATTGACATCAAAGACTTGACAGCCCCTTTCAGAAATCCTGGATCTGTCATTGCAATATACATGTAGTACAGCCATGCACTCTAGTATCCCCAAATGCTGACACAGACAACACCACAATCAAAGAGGTACCACCCTTGTCCACAAAGATTCTGCACGAAAAGTGAGTACCCGTATGAACCACTGCTTTCAAATTTTTCCCCCACTGGACTGGTCCCCATATCAACACAGTAACACGTTTTATTGGCTCTTGTGTGTGCGCATAGTAGACACATCCCAATCATCTGACTTTGTAACAAAAATTACATTCGCTTGCATGTTTGCATGCGTGATATCACAATAAGCATCACACAGGATTAATGCCCTTCAGAATTAATGAGAGAATAGGTCCATGATAAGCCCCTTCTTATGGTGTCATAAAGAATTTTCTTTTCTGTGTCCGATCAGGTCTCGTGACAACTTCAAAAGCGAATATAAAATTCTGTTCATGCATCACACACATACATGTAAGCAATGTAAACTGAACTTGAGTTCACTGTCAAAGAGGAAAATGCCAAATGTTTTATTAGCACAGTGACTTACTGATAACGCACTGCATTATGGGAGCATTGAAATTGACATAAGCCCAGAGGAATTTTCATGGCCACGGCAAAGACATCACAACTTTAGAGACAATTTACATTTTTTGTTGCTATGCTATACAGAAACCTTTTCTCTTGTGTGCAAGCAGACTTTCCTGTATTAAAGCAATGGGCAACACTGTGAAATACTCTAAACCTACAGACAATATCGCTTTAAGTTTAAAACAGTGGTCAGAGATTTAAACTAAAAAAATATTTCAGTCACAAGACCAAGTTTTCAGAAGTCAAGGGGTGAACTAGGCTGTGATCAGATCTTATCTCGCCAAAAGTTGCACCAATTTGCATTCAATTAAAATAATATTTCATTTTTTCTTTGTAAAACAAGTTGCAGTTGCATGTACGTACATGTAGTTAGCACCACAGAGATAAAATAGGTTCCAACCATGTTCTTGTAAAGAGGCTTAGAGTCTAATGAAAACAGTGCACATCAGTAGAAATGTCAACAAAATGTCAAGTTCCATACATGTACTTTCCCATATGTAGCTTTCCAAAATGACGTGCTTTAGCTGTAAAAATAAGACTCTAACAAAGTCCAATTTTTTCCTTTAGTAAGTATTTATCTTCAATTCCCGGAAGAGTTCCTTGAGCTAGACCATCGACTGGGCTTGTTAGATCCTCGCCGACTCCTACTTGCTCTATGCTCCTCCCCCTGAGGCTGTTGGACTTGCTCCTGCTCAACACTCTTGCTGTTACCTGCCAAGTCGTCCCCGTTCTCCCCGTCAGATTCACTCTCCTCGAAGGCCACAAGACTCGTCGCCAGTTTCTCCTTGCCCCCTTTGCTCCACTTCAGTTGGATTTTCTTTGCCTTCTCTGTCCCCTCCTGGCTTGGCTGGACAACAGATTTTGGCTGTTCTCCATTCTTAACGTCAGTCTTCTTTGCAGATGCTTCCAGATTCTCATCAGATATCCTTGAGGGTAGGGAGCCACTTTGCACTGCCTTGTCAATGTTTTCTGGCCCGCCCGTGTTCTGCTCTCTATCTACTCTCATTTCACGAGGTGTTGGGAGCTGGGGAGTGTTTGTGGAAGTCTCGTCAGTGCTATCAACTGAGGCAGTCAAAGAGGATTCTCCATCTGAGACTGTTTTTTTAACAGAGGATTCAGCTGTGTTTGATTCCTCCAAGCCCACACAACTGGAATCTGCTGGTATAATCTGCTCAGAAACCCTCCCTGCATCAGTGTCTACAGTCGAAGTGGAGCTGTGAAGGAGCCTATCTTCAACACCTCGTGGAGGCTGTCTCGTTCTCTTGGATTCATCGTGGCTTCCCTCTGTCAGCTGTACATTTTTGAAACTGCTGTCTGCAGTGAATGGAGCTCCCAATGCTTCAGTCGCTCCTTCGAGGTTGCCACTTTGAGCTCTATCACCGAGGAATAGCCTTTCGTACTCGGTGGAATCATCACGCTGTTTTTCCTGAGAGTCTCTGCTGTGCTGCTGGTCTCTGCTGTGAATGGTTTCTTCCATTCCCTTTGATGAACCAAGCCAGGATGTCCGTCCTGCATCCATCGAATTGTCCCATATGTCCACAATCCCCTGTGATGTTCTACGTCTCCCATCTGCTTTCCCTCGTTCAGCCAGCGGCAGCTGAACCATGCCAAAAGCATTGCCACTGCTTGGGTCATCTGCTGTTGAATGTTGTGGACTTGCATCAAGCTTTTCTGTCCCACCCTGCACCCATGTTGGCGCCTTCTTGCCGCGATTGGCAGCAGCTGACTGCTGGGGATCAGTGAGATTAAAGCGCCCTCTAGCTTTGTCCCAATTGTCGTTCCTTCGTCTTGCATACTGTACTTGGTCCATGGACTGAACTACTCTTGATCCTAGCCCAGCATTCCTGCTATGGACTACTGCTTGAATCTAAGAGAAAAAAACACATTCACAGAAAGATTTTTTTCATCTTTTTCAAAGTGCTGCAATTTATAATGTTTGCTGTGAGAGACCATGTGTTTTTCTCTCTCGGTGACCCTAGTAGACTGCACCATTTGGTTTGACAACAGAAAATTCCAGACTTCCACTCTGTGACAGGTTGGGAACAGTTTTGTAGCAGTAGCTTGTAGTTTTTTCCGAGTACAGAGTACTACCGAGTACTTAAATTTCCAAGTACCTGAAAGTCCAAGTACTTTACCAGCCGAGTACAACAGCTGATTTTGAAGTTCAAGTACTTGTATCTCCGAGAACGAGTACTTCTAATTATGAGTACAAGTCAGAGTAAATAGTCAAATCTGTGTGCCAAAATGTTTAAATGAATATGAACAATGGATCTATTTTATTAAAATCTGCCATAGCATTCCCAAATCAGTATGTTTAGGTAAAGTTGAAGATTATATTTAGTCCCAAAACTGTGTACATGTATTTTAGGCTCCTTGGCAAAACACAGACGTACAACATTTATACGGCAAGAGAAAGATCATCGGCTCTGATGCACCAACAACAGCAAAAGCATTGACTCAGAGGTAAAATGTAAAAGCATCAAGAATAAGGAAATGCCGTTGATGCATGGCCCAATGTCACAGAGCTGCTTAAGTATAAAATTTGGTGAAGTGCCAAAAAACCTTGCTCAAAAACAAAGGTTACCAGCTAAAACTTTGTGTGATTGTCAAGCCAACCAAAAACATGTAAATAAAATTCTGAAACAATATACATGTACTTTACAAGGCGATACACAATGACAGTGCCCCTTCCAGTTGCAACATCTGGTGATGGTTCGTGTCACGGAATAAACAGGAAGGTCTTGGAACCAAGACTAGGAATACACCAACGTTTCGCATTGGCTAAGACGGCAAATGTGTACGCCTTGTGCTGTCGGACCATACCGAATATCGGTCGCGAGGATCGATTTTCTTGTACCATTGTATTTCAATGGCCGTTACAGGATTTAAAGGATTTTTTACCGAGTACAAATACCTCGATACTCGAGTACAATTTTGTTCAGAGTATTTTGCAAGTACAAGAACAGTTGTTCAAGCACGAGTACTTGGAAATTTGAGTACAAGTAAGAAACAAGTACTCTGAAAATGGTACCGACTACGAGTAATTCAACACTGGTTAGGAAGGCATGTAAACATGTAAAATGCTCAGTGTTTTGAATGTTTTCTTCATAATAATACGCAGAGTCTCAGGGGAATACTCCAACTGTGTCAAGTTCTGGCATACTCCATGAAATATGACTTTACCGGCTCTTTGATTCCACGGTCTCCCTTGCCCAAGGACTGCCCCTCAGTCCAGCCCATCTTGGACAGCATCTTGTGGCCTACGTTTGACGATTCGATCGCCCTGCATAAACAAGAGAACCAAACCTTATCATGCATTGATATCTTCGCACTCTGTTGGTCATGATCAGCCCATTACCTTTTCAGCATTTGAAAAACAATAAACACCCACTGGATTTCAATTCCGGAGGGAAAACTGATGAGAAGGAAACTGTGAAAATCTCACTTAAGACTGCCCTGCAAACTTTATAATATGCAACTTTTGAACACCGATGCACTGTCTCCAATATAAAATAAAAGAGCGTTGCAATACAGCATTAAAATAGAGAAATTCATACCCCAAGACATGTATAGAGTATGATTACACTTAGAACCAAAAAACTGACTTAATATTCAAATTGTACAACTCAGTAGCCTGATGTGTCTGATATTATGCGACAGTGGTATCGTTATACTCTAGCAGTTAAAATCAATGTGTTTTTCACTTTCAAAGCGACACTATGAATCAACCACAATTATTATCCAAAAGAAAAATGGCTTAAAGTTCTTCAAATCATAAAACCTCACATTACGGTCCAATTTCACAGCAGTGTTGAGCATAGAAATGAGCTTAACAGAGAGAGCATTTGGTCAGCAAAGAAACAAGTCTATTAACTGAATGTCATACACTTTACACTTCTTGCAACCAATTCTCTACCCATTTTTACTAAACGCATAAATATGCTAATATTTCCCTGTCAATGGAAATAATTTTACAAAACTTCTTGGCAGAAAATCTTGCTGTGGGAAATTAGTGCTCCACAATACTAAACACAGCACCAGTCACAGGCAATGTATGTGCTAAACAAGAAACTTTGCAAGCTTCGCAGCTCTAGAAAACTGACACCTGACATCCAAGGCTCACCTGTCCACAGATGCAGGCTGGTCATCCGGCTGATACGGATTGTCGCTACCCACGGCCCGTCGTCGCTCCCCTGCCCTGTCAGCATAGGCAGGGTTTATCAGCGATGGGTCCACATTGGAGTAGTCATCCTTGGCCAGGTTGTACTTCTTCTTGAGGTGGCGCAGCTCCTTGCGACGTTGCTGTTCCTTTTCGGGCCTGCTGCCGGAGGTTGTCCCTTCGGAAAGAGAAATACAGATTGAAAAAAGCCATATCCTTTCGTTCAGGGTCTCCACTGACTTAGATCTAGGTGGTCAAAAAGTGGCATTTCTTCCTGTACCCAAGGAAAGTAGTACCCACAAAGACACATTCTTGAAAAAAATACCTGAGTGTAACACTTGCATGCAAACCAGAAGCAAATAAAATGCAAGAAACATCTGCAAAAGGGACACCAACAATACGCAATCAATGTTCAGCACTCATCATCAGCAAAGCCCAAACAAAGCCAAGAGATCTTTGTGAGAAGTCTGCCTAGGTTTCCTGAGATGGCCAACTCACACACAAGTGTCACACTTCAGTCGAGGCAGAAATCTTGCCAGTTGTAATTTTTTTTGCAACAATGCAATTGGCCTACCTGCAGACATCTCGTTCAGCTGCTGTTGCGCTATCAGGGCCTGCACCTGACCTGGCTCGCACTCCTCGCACGTTTCATCGCCCGGGTGGATGTGCAGTCGCAGGGTGGTGCCACCGATGGTAATGTAGTCACGGTGAGACAAGGGGTGGGGCTCACTGACAACACGTTGCTGAGAGGCGTGAAAAGAGTAAATAAATGGTCACTCATCCAGAACCAGTGCTGTCAAGCCCATCAAAACTCATGTCACATCCTCTCACAAGTCCTTCAACAGCTGAAAAGCTGAAAACACAACACTGTTTGTCGCAGTTCATTTCAACTGCTTGTTGTGATAGACTGACTCGCGACAGTAGATTGGAAAACAATATACATGCACAAGTTTTTTCCGGGGGGGTATTCATATCCCTCAGTTTATAAGACCAAGTCTGTTTATCCATCCCAGCCCCTAACCTTCCCCATATGCTGTTTGCCGCCACTTTTATCTCCTTATCTCTCACCTCTGATATGGCTTTCCCATTGAGCAGCGTCCCGTTCTGACTGCCAAGGTCGACTATCGTGTATTGCCTCTCTTGTGCGTCGTAGATGATATGAGCGTGCCGCTTACTGACTTTCACGCTCTGAATCAAAAGAGCATGGTTGCTGCCCTCTCTAGACCCAAAAGAGAAAAGACAACATCATACTTGCCCACCAACCAGAACTCATTCATCTGGCCAGGAACCCTCAATGGCAAAACCAGGGCGTTCACTCTCTTGTTTACAGTTTATCTGTGGCAGTACAACACTGTCATTGACCAAGCATTCAACCTTCCTATTCCTTCTACTCTTACTCTTGATATCTCACTGTTTAGCGGACCAAGCTGACTTTCAGAAAAGCTAGTTCATATCAGGTGTTTCCCCTCCGTTTTTGTACAGATGAGCACACGTTTGAGGATTTTTAAAATCAGATTAACTTCGATTTTTGCATTAGTTGATGGTTTACAAAAAAGTGTGCTGAGGAATGACTCATGCTTTAGAAAACGATTAAAGATGAAATTAACCCGCAATTTGTTGTGCAAGTCACAGACTTATTCACTCCATAACATTTGCAAATTAAATCGTGGCTTGTAATTCAAACAACAAAAAGGGTGTAAGAAGATTCTACAGCAGTGTACAAAGTTTCCTGGAAAAAAAAATTGTTGATCTCTAAAAGTGGCACAGTTGGGGGAAACAACCCACCTTCCAATGGTACCACCCGCACATGTAATGATGAATAGTGATCCTGGTTTCAGAGTGTCAGACTTGGTGACAATCATTCTGATACAAGGAGGGTAGTCAACCTTCAGCACTGCAAGCGGGAAAAATGGTATTGGATTCATCACAATGGGAATGAAATTCTCTGCGTTGACTCTTTGGAAAATGAAAAAGTCAGAGAACACATTGTTCTAAGCGATAAAACATACTGTTCTCTAATTAAAAGACATCAACCATCAAGAGTTACCAATGATTTACATATCAAATTTGTACCAATTTTAAATCTATTTTATCATCAGAAAACCTTTTGGCCCACTGCAGACTTCAAGTGCATTCTGATTTCATCAACATTATTTCTGGAACCACCCTGTTATCTTCTTCCAAGCTCCAACTGACCTTCTAGTCCACTAGAGCTATCAGAATCCACCGATATCTCTTCCAACCCATCCTCAGATGTAGCACTTGAAGAATCCAGTGAACTGCCCTCACTGGAGGAAACTTCTGACAAACTATCAGACAGCTCCCCTTCCTCCATCTCGTCCGAGCTCAGGACAATCGGCTCTTCGCCGTCTTCCACAATCATGACATCCTCGATAATTTCCCCATCAGAGTACCCCTTGTGGATTTCCCCACCGAAGCCTCCTTCTGACCCATTTGGCTGCTCTTTGGCTCCACCTCTCCGAGGCTCGGCTTCCGGGTTCGGGACAATGACCTGGCAATGGCTTCTGACCTCTGCTGCCTCTTCTGCTGACCCTTGACCTTGGGCCTCACCCTCATCAGCCTTCCCTTCCTCTCCGAGTGGCGAATCATCTTTTGCTGTGGAATTCTCGGAACTTCCCCCAACAGTTTCCGGACTGGTTTCATCCTTCTGCTTGCCAGAACCAGCCGCATCAGTTTCACCCAGTCCTCTGTCTGGACTGTTGCCAGCTCCCTCATTCTCCACAAACTGATTCCTGTTTTCATCTGTGGTTCGGTGATTCTTTCTGCTTTGACTACTGCCTCCCTCAAGACCATCCATATCCAGTCCTTCATCATTCCTAATCTCCCCATCTGACAACCCTTCTACTGATTCTTGATCTTGCAGCCCACTGGGGTACCTGCCATCATATTCCTCGTCTCTTCTGCCCCTATCCCTAGACTTCTTTCTCCTCCTCCTGGACTGACTCTTCCGGCGCTGCTTCCGTCTTCGTTCCAGTGACTGCATCCTCTTCTTAAGCTCATGAGTATGTTGTTCACTGGTAGCCTCCCCATCACCAATGTCCCCACGACCGTGACTGTGGCGCTCTCTTCTGTGTCGCCTCTCACGGTGAGCTCTCCTTGGAGCGTCATTGTCAACTCTCTCTGAAGAACCACGCATCTGGTTTTCGGTGGCGTCCCTCCGGCGTCGCTTGTAGCCATGTCTGGTATCCTGGCCAATTTCAATGATCTGACAATCCATATCTTCAAGGCTCTCTCTCCTCTGATGAGCAGTATCCCAGCAGCCAAAGAGGCATATATTGAGAACGAGGGAAAAAAAGAAACAACAATCAGCTAAGTCTTCGGGAAATCACATACCTTTGGACACAGATCGAGCTGGGAGGTCTATACGGATTCTAGGTGCAGTGTGAACGTTGAGCTTTTCGGGGGAGTAACATGGAGTGTTGGATCCTAAATTGTAATCACAGCTATAAGCCTCTTGCTTGGGGTCTAGTGTAAGTCTTGAGAGGGCAGAGGTCAGGGAATTCTCCTGTAATGCAACGCATACACAAAGAAAGAGAGGGATTTCAGCCAAGATTCTAGTAATCCCCAAAATAATGCAATTGCAAGACAAACTTGAAGCAACTCACCCTTACATCAATCTCCCTGGATTCTTCCCCCAGTCTCCTGTCCTTCCGCTTCCCCCAAGCATTGCCTCGCCCCTTCCCACGACGCCCCTGGCCATATTGAGCAGCGGTCGGGAGCTCTACCTGTGAGTGGAACTGGTAGGAACCCGTTCCCTCATCAAAGTAGTAGTAGATTCCATTGCTGGGATCATAATACAGCTTATTAACCTACGAGAATATCACGAGAAGAAACGTTTGAAAAGTTAAGCTAATGTAGGCGGAAGTTTAACTGAAGAAAGCATTTCAGCAAGGTTCTTGATGGGCGAGAGACAACACTCACCTGATCGTAGTAGAAGCCAGAGTTACAGTCGTAGTACATGCCACTTGTCTGGTCCAGGACGAAGCCTGTCCTAGTTGTAGCGGCTTCAGCTGCAGCCCTGACGCTGTCTGCAACTGATTGTGAGGCACTCTGGCCCTAAGGCAAGACAAGGTGAGAAGTCAGGTGGGCAAAGATCAGAAAGGACTAACTGACCAAACAACATTAGATTTGGAGAACTCCAACTGATCCTTTTGGATTTGGTCATACATGTACATTTGTCCAAGTGAAGTTCACTCCTGTATTAACCCTACCCTCCTCCAACCCTGCTAAACACAACACACGACAGCCGTCAAAGTGAGAAAAGCCTGCATCCAGTGTTATGCGATTCAACAGGTTGACTATCCTCAGGCCAAACAGCCTAAGAGTCTGCATCCAGCACAGGATCCAATAGTGGCATCCACTTTAATGGGAAATGTTCATTGTCTCAGAAATAAGTAGTTTCACTGCTCAAACAGTAAGCATGATGGAACAACGTCCTACAATTATGTAGATAATAAGATCTGTACATGAGAAAGCTTGAAGATTTAACCCTTATCACCTAGCAGAACTTGCAGTGTAATAAAACCTTATTGAATTGGACATGGCTAAGTTTTATGACATTTCTTTCCCTTTTCTCAGGAATTCTCAGTGTACTTCACTTGAACAACAGTCTCTACACATACAAATCTGGACACCTATAAAAAACTTTCCTGAAAAACTGAGTGTCAGCAAAGCCCTCTAACATATAACCAAACTTACTGACGTTCCCACTTCTGTCACCCAATCAGATGGGCCAGTGCTCCCTGCTACAGTGCCTTCTGTTGAGGAAACGTCACTCGCAACGGGATCTGTCTGGCAACTGACATCCGAGATTGATGTTTTTGCAGCCTTGTGCAGGTCCTCTAGTTCTTGGCTTAACTTTTCCACCTGCAAATATGTCATATGGATAATGGATTCAGATCTGAGCCAGACTTGACGTCTAAATTGTTTCAAAATGCTCCAGGCAACAGTGGCGTGCTTTTACTCATTTCTGAGGGCATTAAAATTTGTTTGGTCTTGCTTAGTGAGCATTTACTATCTGGATCCCCACAATGTTGTCCATGCTCAGTTACTAGGGATGAGCAAGGACACCATACTTGATTTGCCTTTGAGCGTCCATAATAAGTAAAAAAAAGACAGAAAAAGGTCATTATTTTTTTAAGGAAACAATTTGGAGGAAACACACCTATGAACAATTGACTCCAACCATAATGTGAACCACCGTAATTACAAGGCTAGCAAATAAGAACCAGACAGATTAAATCAAGACCAGTTTATACCACCAAAGATACAATCTTAAAACAAAAATTTAAGTTTAAACTATCTCAGACTGCAAGTTGGTTGGCCTATATCACAACTGTTTAGGTACAGAGAGCCCTGGCACTCACACCTGCAGACTACTTATGATGCTGTACAGTATGCACATGGTAATTTGGATAAACAGAATGGCTCATGAGGCCATTCTCTTGGGCAAGAGGGCACACCTTCTTGCGTAGCTTCACAGAGCACTCTTCAGCCTCGGTGCGCAGTGCTTCGGTCCGGACAAGTTCTGCCTGAGTGGTAGCAAGTTTTGCCTTAGTCTCGGCCAGCTCCTCACTTAGACCTTTAACCTTTAATCTCGGCACATCCAAATCAGCAGTCGGTGAGTGCATTACGCCTATCTGGTCCTTTGACAAGGGAAAGAAAAATTGCACTATTTCAGCAGCACTGGGTGTGAGTTTTTTGAGCATTTAAAGCAGAAACTATGTCCTTGTACCACATCACTGGCTCAGTAGCTAAGGCCATTGTGCTCCTGTGGTCATAAAAGATAGCATCGTGTTGGCTGTTGAATACCATCTCCTCAGACACTGCAACACATCAGTTCAAACTGTTCACAGCTCTTTGAAATCATACGCCAACGTACATGTACTTGAAAGGCAAGTTGTATCTCTTGGGGTCAAGGGCAACTCCATGCGCAGTGAAAGATACCGTACTGCCTTGATCCCACGATGCCAGGTTTTGTGTATCAAGGCATAAACATCTCTTAGCAAACCTGAAAGCATGCACAACAGCACTTAGTGTTGTTTCTTTTACCTGTATATCCATAAGCATGTGGACTATAAAGGCATATCATTTTTACTTGACAGAATGTCCTACAAGATCAAGTGATTTCTACGTATGGAAAGAGTTCCATAAACAAACATCATTTGATGCCAATTCAAAATACATGTATTTTCTTAATATGTTGATATTTTCCCTGCTAAATTTGACTGTTATGACATATTACCACTTTCTGATGGCTGATAAACCATTGTAGAGAAAAATTAGTGATGTCTGTATTAAGGAACTTGTCCCACACATTCAATCACAGAGATCAACAAACTGGGCTCAACAATTAACGGGAACAGGTCAACTCATACCGTGGACAACTCGTACCATCAACTCAACATAACTGTACCAACTTGTTCTTTTGCCGAGTCGCACCTTGGACGACTCAAACCTCCAGTAAAGACAACTTGTACCTTCGTGTGCGAGACAACTCATACCTTCACAGAAATCAGAGCTTATTATTATTGTAGTTAACTTGAACAATTATTTGATTTCTTAGTCACGTGTTCATTACCTAATTTGCCATTTTGGCTACACTGCTTTCCCTACACACTGGTGGGGTGACATTAATTCATTTTTTTTTTCTTTTTCAACATTTCTTGCATTTGCATGCATTTCGTTCACTACATGTATCAATGCCATGTCATATCAAAGCTGGACATCCGAACCTAACAGTGTGGGATGGTTCACTTCGAAAGTGCCATGTTAGATGATTTTAGGTTCGGTTCTGCGGTTCGGTTGTTTTACTGATGTAAGAGCTTGTAACCTGCCTTGCTATCCGAGCTGAAAAACCACACAACGGACAGCAAAGTTAATGAGCAGAGCTCCTTACCAGTTTCCAAAAACAACCCCATTTCAAACCTGTATTTTTGCTGCCCCCATTTTAACCGAAAATGAACATGGTTAAATTGAGTGATCAGACGGCATACAACAATTTTAACAGAGAAACTGCATTTTAATCGAGCGGAAATTCATAGTGTGATGCTGGTCAACGTGGCCAGCCGTCTTTGCATGCAATTTGGAATCTTCACCGTGCAGTCCACCATGATGATAGAGTGATGTAATGTTTTCATTACTTTAATGTCAGTTGTAACTTGTCCAAAAAGAAAAATGAATTTTAATAAGGGAGGCAACCATTCCCCCCCCCAAAAAAAAATCAAAACTGAGACCAGAAACACTTCCAAAAGAAATCAAAACATAAGTGTTATATGTTGACCCCCCTCCAGAAAGTTACTAAACAAAGCCATCATTCTCTCACAAAATGAAAAAAATCCAATAACATATTCCCAGAGCCATAAGAATAAATTGAAGTCCCTTCCCCCCCCCCCAAAAAAACCCAGAATTTAGATTTTATTTTAGTAAAGTTCCCGCTCCAGAAAAAAGAATGTTCATAAGGAAGTCAATTTGGTACATGGTCAGGTTGTTTGACATCCGTCATGTAAACCGACGGCACAAAAGCCTGTGGCAGGCACTATGCAGAAAATCATGCTGGTGCTCAAAATCTCTCCGGGAGATTTTTGAATATTTTTCCTTGATATGTTTGTCAAATCTGATCTTAGACATGCTGAAAAGAAAGAGCAAGAAAGTTACAACCGAATTATGAACATGAAGGTACAAGTGGTCTTAACTCAAGGTACGAGTTGTCCAACGTACGAGTTGTCCAACATGTCCAAGGTAGGAGTCGCCCATGGTAGGAGTCGCCCATGGTACGAGTCGCCCATGGTACGAGTCATCCAAGGTACGCGTCGACCAAGGTACGAGCTGACTCGAAAGCCAATTAACCACCATCACGACCTACTTCGAGAACTCGAAGTCACTAACTCCGTGATAATCCGTGTGCCTTCTAGGCCAGAAGGTTTACATGATGTCGTAACGCTACGCGGTTTTGGAATCAAATTTTTGAGGTGAAATGGTTTGCAGGCCTAAAAAAGCTATTAAACCAAATTTTCCCCTGTCCAGGTCACAACAGCAGCCAGGACAGTCCCACGATGAAAACAACACAAGATGCCATCCCTGCCATCGAAAATGGTCGAGCCAATATGTAGAGCAAGCGCAGTCATTGGTGGGCTCAACGCATGCACAGTCTGACAAATGCGAACGGCATGAATGGAGTGACAGTCAACGGGTGAAAGCGAGAAATTGGTGAGCAAATATCTCATTTTTTTCCAAAAATACTCCGTCTCATGTTCTGAAACTACTATTAATATTATCCGCTTCATAGCAGGTATTGATCAAGCAGATTTGCTGACGGGGTAAAATTTGGTGTAATAGGCCTAACTTTTTTAGGGCTGCAAACCATTTCACCACAAAAATTCGATTCCAAAACCCCATAGCATTACGACGCCATGTAAAACTTCTTGCTTCAAAGGCACAAGGAGTATCACGGAGTTAGTGGCTTCGAGTTCTCTAAGTAATCATGACCATGTTCACATTTGAGACAAAATGTCAATCATGTCAATGTCAATTCACACATGGAGGTGATTCACCTCTCTCATATTAGTTTCAAGCCTTTGTTCACCTCAACGTCTGTCATCGTGGTCTCCATCCTTTAGCAACTACACTCAGTTTGCTCCAGACCGGCGTTTGCAAGGTCCAATCCAACTGCAAACTGATACGCAGACGCGAGCACTTTGGTTGAGTTTGACTTAACTGGGAATCTCCTGTGCCGACTGCTAACTCCACTTCCAGCTGTTAGCTGTTCACAGCATCCTAACTGTTGTCTTCCTGAAGTTCATCCGTACTCTACTGAAAACAAAAACGAAATTGAAAGGTTACAGTCCATTCGTATTGATGAAACTTGGCGATCGCAGATGTATTCAAGCTTAAATAGAGGAAGAAACCTTGAAAAGTTGTTACTTTCTTCTAACAAGGCCTCCATGTTGTTCGATTGGACAATTTTAAGCAATTGGTGGCGCTGCGCTTGGCCATAATCGTTTTGCTAAGAAATTGATGTATGGTATGCAGTGGGTAAATTGGTTCACCGGGTAAATTGCTGCTTAGTTGTAAATTCAATCATCAGCCGGTACCCCTCAATTCGGATTCACCTCATTACTGCCGACAGCAAAATTTTCGGATTTCTATTATTGTTGTTTATCATTGTTTGATTTAGTTTCTTATAAATGGAATCTAGAGTGGAGCATATTTTGTACTTAAATGTAATTTGGAAAGCGAAGCTTGCCATACTTTTGCGTAACGATGTTCGCAGATGATGCGTTTACAAACTTTACTGCTTAGGCCCTAGGTCTATAGCCTTCTGGTTCGAATGTGGGTATTAGTGAAGGTGAGCTCTTCTGACTGAGGTAAGTTTACGATTAATGCAGCTGATTTAAAGTAATTTTTATCTTACATTTTTGTAAAGCGCTTTGACTGAAGTTTCAGGGGAAATCGATAACCTTCTAACCTGTCTAAGTTTGAGAAGTTTCAAAATGTACCTTGGTTTGAAGTTCTGTCATTGTAATCCGAGCACCTCCATAGCGCTCGAATCGGTTAGTTGCCTTGCAGTGTGCATGCTCATGACTCTGTGCTATCGATCGATCCTGTACTAGGAAATCTCTGACTTTTCCCTGTCTGAATAATTTTAGGAACCATGAATAAGAGGTTATTGGGTGATTAGATTGACATGCTTCGAGAACTCAAAGTCACTACTCTGGAAAGCATGGAAAGATCAACCACTATACTAGCAACTAGACTTGGCACTAGTGATCGACTGATGCAGACTCCAACTAAAGAGGTCAAGTACCAACAGGCCTAAACAGCAGTCGTTGGTCAGTGTGGCTCAGCAGATTTCATCTTGCATTCTACATGTACACGTAGGTTGATTGCCGTGCATTAACACACAATCTGTTCTTGATGTAAATAAGTTCCATTTACATGTATCTTTGCATTCATGCATCTTAGTCTCCAGGGCCCTAGTTTGATGTGTGATTAAGCTGGGGTTCATTACCATGAGCACCCTGTTCCTATAATAAGGAAACAAAGTCCACTTTTTCAAACTCACTAACATTTTGACCTTAAGGAACCAGTTTAGGTAAATTTTGACAATATTTAAGCAAGAAACCTCAAATTTCTAACCCGAGTTTGGCAAAAGACAACCACTCAGTTGAATCACGCCATTTTGTTTTTCGTCTGGTTACCTGACTCAGGCATTTTGGATTCATCAAAACAAATCTCCATCCAGGTCAAGGAACCAGACTTCATTCATTTATTTGTCGTTTACAGCTCTTCGGGGCGGTCATTTACGCTGCCGTTTTACCCCCAAAATGTCTCTCGAAAACCAAAAGCCCTGTTCTCTTTTCTTTCTGATATGAAAAAGGACATTATCAACAACTTGTTTAGATGGGTTGTTTTGAAAAAGGAGAATTTGTTCGCTTATATAATAGGAACAGGGTGCTAGAGGCAATTAACCCATTAAGTTCTTGTCAGGATTTCACTTCATCTCTTACCAGTACTAGGTATTGAGCATCTCCGATCTATCTTGATGCCTCAGGGCATTTGCCACTTGATGAATACCCAACACCAGCCTTGATCACAATGGGCCTAGAGCGGGACCAAGAGAAGGCACTGTTTAACTCCCACCAGAGATGTCGTTGGAAGGAACTGCACTTTCCTTGTTCATGAAGACCATGACATGCATGTGTTGCGTACGCACCATTAAAAATAAAACAAATACTCCCCACCAGCTTTTTTCTTTTGATTATTTTTATTATTATTTCTGGTTTATTAAAAACACAACGCAATTTGTAGCCCAAAGGCTAAATTGCTACATTGTTTACAAATTGAAAAGAACATCTGACTGCGCACAATTATAATAACAGATAAGAACAAGTACATACTGTACCATAAAATGCTGATGAACAAAAGCATGATTTAAAACATGAACGAAAAGGCTATATGTGATACTGACAAATTAGGGTATTGGGCTTTGTTTATATTTGTTTGTGTTGCACTTGATTATGGAAAGTTTGTTCGTATTTCTTAATTGATATTGCACGTCTGGGATGAGGCAACCACTGTCGGAACAAGTCGGAACATTTTAGTTTAGTGGCAAGTTAACATGTGCAAAGGCCTCTTCTACGATCATGGAGAGAGACCAAATTGCACTTTAGAAGGGCATGTTCATAATCTAAATAATCTGGGCCCAAGATAATTTAAGGGCATGCTTTTGAATACTCTCTAATTTGTTGATTGCGCTAGTTAAACCGGCATTCCAAACGGGCGTTGCATATTCCATCAGTGGTCGTATACATCCCTTATACACAGTTAATAAGTCATCATGAGATATGCAGAATTTTTTTAGCAATTTTAACATGTGAATCTCGTTGCTACACATGTAGCTTTGCGATAAATCTGATCAACATGTCTGATCTAAGATCTGAACTACATGTAATTGAAACACTGATAATCTTTACACAATCAACTACATGTATGTGGAGATCAGTAGAGGAAATCTGTAAATTAGGAAATTTGAGAATATTTTTCATAAAGCATACAGTCATGCAAGTACATTTATCTGGGTTGACTTTCATATTAATTGGTACCGCCCATTGACCAAATTCATCCATAAACAGATTGAATTGTATGGGGATCTTTCCCTCTACTGCTCTCCACAATAGTCATATCATTGACATACATGTATTTTAGACTAAGTAATCGACTGGTAGTGTAAGTTGAATTATCAAGACGAACGGCACTAGTAAAGTTAGCAAGAAAACCCAACCGTCCAGATTTTGTTCCTTGCAGTAGTCCACCTTTAAGTACATTGTACATTGAAATTAGACAAGAGATTTTTGTACTTAATACACTGTGATCTCTCAGTCAAAAAGCTGCTAACCCAAGGAATGATTGAGGGGTGTGTGCCCAAGTGAAGCAAATCAAAGCATAACAATGTTATGATCAATAAGATCAACTGATGAAGGGGTACTTCTGCTCACGGCAGATACATGTACTGAGATCTAGACTGAATGAATTGTTTGGCATACATGTACACATGTATGTACATGTACATGTACGTACCATACACGTACTGGTATCTGTACATGTATGGATTTTTGTAAATTTAACAGCCGATACACTCTGCATACATTATGTTGTTTTAATCATTGAAATTAGTGCTGAAACTCCCATTCTCGTGAAAATCTTAATTTAAGTCTGTCGGTGGAGAACAAACGACATAATGTACAAGGGGATGTACTGGCCTTTCTGCAAATTGGCTCAGTACCGTAAATTAAGTGTATTTACTCTTGGCTGAACCAGTGATAAACAATACGATCGTTGTAGGGCAGATGTGATTCTCAAAAGGGAAAATCCCCTCACGTGTAATGGATGATCAGGCAGATGTGTTCATTCGAGCAGTTGATGGTGCAGTTGCTTAAAACTGACCAATCATTCAGGTCCTGTGGTGGCAACTGGTCAATGATGCATACTTTACATTTTGCAGCTGATAAAATGATGACATGATTGAACAGTAGTTATCGGGCATGGCTCTTGATAATTCTGTCAATGATACATGTGCACATAGGATCCAGTGCTTTATAGCCAGCACCTTATGTACATGTACATGTATGTGTACATCAACTGATCACATACCGAGTCTGCTATTACGTTGTGTAACTACCGTTACACTGTTTCATTCATAACAAGAGTAGATGTTAGTCAGCCGAGAACATGTTACTGGCTGGAAGAATTGTAGAAGTTAGCTGATATATGTTAATGTTATTTTCAAATGTTGTTTTCAAATAATGGAGGTACATGCACATGTACCTGTATTATCATTAATTTAGAAGTACATTGTACATGCACGCCCATACCTGTTTTACAAACAAAGTGTGGACATTCTTTTATTTTCCTGTGGTTAGGGAAACATGAGGAAAATGCTCCTTTTTTTTCCAACTGGGATAACTGCTTCGAGCTGGATTTTTGATGATGATTCCTTGGACTGATCCTCTTCATTTTGCCACGGATAACCTTGAGGGGAAAACATTGTGTGGGCGTGTACGAGTCCACACAATGCCATCGCACCTTACATACATGTGGACTTCTTTTCTGCAGAGGTTTGTGCAGAGGTCCACACTATTATGCTACGCCTGCACATGTATGTATGTAAATGAATGTGGATGGTTGCACGTTTGTGTAAGACTCTAGTATAAGAAAAATGGATGACAAAGACGGGTCCACTGAGCTAAATGATTGTTGCCGTAAATGACAGTGTCTGTTTCAACAGGCACTAATTTACATGTACATGTACACAAATAGGCTGGCATGGTGCTGGTGAGCATAGTCTTCCCTGATGAAATTGATCGGGCCATACCTGTAGGGTACATAACGGTATTTGTCAAGTATTGGCACAGGCTGGCATCAGTTATTGACTTGAAAACGAGAGATTGTGGTTGACTTTCCTCTCCAGCTGCTCTGCACGTGGAGTACAGCCTACAGGTATGCGTGTACACACGCCTGTGCTGTGCAATACATGTACCCACCCACCATATTAAAATACATGTAGTTGTCTTTTCATTTTCATAAGAACAGCATGTGTACATATTTTCAAGATGTAATTTTTTTTTTTTTGCGTTGGGGAGATGCTA